ACTGGGATGACGTGCATAGGCCGAAAATCGATGTTTGCCGCCATTTTGGAATCCAACGTTCCAAAAATACCCATATTATACACACTTAGAAAAACCTAATTTTACACGTGACGGAATCCATCTTTGACACAAAGAATGAAACGTAAACAAACATGTCATGTAAAATTAAGTGCTCCGAGACTGAAAAGTTTGTTACTCGACGAAAAGTACGTTTGATTGAGCTGAATTTCACGTCTATTATGACACAATTCTATGTCAAAATTGACGCTCGTATATGTCAGTCTCAGGGAACTTAAATTTACATGATTTTTTCTAAGTGTGTAGGGTTTTTGACAGTTTTTATGAAATCAATGGCAGCCATATTGGATTTCAAAATGGCAGTGAGCATCGATTTCTAACATCTACATGTTATCCCCGTTCCAAAAATACTCTAATGTTGGGTACAGTTTGTTTCTGAAACCAATGGCCGCCATCTTGGATTCTAAAATTACGGTAGACATCAATTTTATACATCTGAATGTCATCCTTGTTCCGAAAATACCCATATTTCGGGGTATTTGACAGTTTTTTTTCTGAAATCGATGACCGTTATTTTGGATTTCAAAATGGCGGCGAACATCGGTTTTCAATCTCTATACGTCATCCCCTTTCCGACGTACCTACACTATTGGTGCGTTTACCCTATATGGGCAATTTTCAGTGGCGATAGTTGATGATGATGATCGGAGATTATCGCTATTTCATATGATCATGATCTGTAACACAAATGATAATCGCATTTTCGTTTCCAGAACTGTCTGTTGTGATTTTTGGAATTGTACTGATCATGAGTGTACCCAAAATGAGAATGACATTATCTTTATCTGAATCGTTGATTTCCATTCCCTGAATTTGTCAACCAAATATCAAATGTGCCATTTTGAATTTTTATGCGAGGTTGAAAATAGCCAAAATTTAGCTCAAATGTGACTGATTGACCATAACAAACAATTATGCAAATCGTAGATGGTCACTAAAGGTCGATTCGTCATTTGGCATGACACTGCTTTCCCCAAACCAGTACGGAATTATGGGTAAACTCGAAAAGGCCTTCAGCAGTAAAACAAAAATCTTTCATAAGTAGGTATGAGAATCAAAATATCTCAAAATGAAACCCAAAAAGTTTACAATGTTTAAAATAGGAATGGGCGATCTGCTCCCGAGCTGTTCTATAGATCCGATTCTCTAAAGTGAGCTGATGACCTGCGGTTCATTTTGTAAGGAACCGCAGCTCATCAGCTCACTGATATCTCAAGTCTAAACCATTCAATCCATCACTCCTAGCGGAACTTTTCAAAAAAGAATTCGTTGCTCCACTTACGCATTGAACCAAGACGAGCCCGTAATACACCATGTGCCTACTGATCGACAGCACCAATGGTAAAAGAAAACTTTCAAGCGGCTGTTTGGGAGAGAGAGATGCATAGGCACATGTGCTACACGATGTTAATTTTCTACTGGTATTATCCAATTTATTTATGTACCCGGCTCTTATTGCTGATGTTATTCCTCCAGCATATGTTCTCTCACCTCTCTTCCCATCATTCTCTGGGGGAGCGGAAGATCCGCACAAAAGCAAATAACCGAAAAGCAAAATGCAGCTCTCCAGCTTATCAGCTCAGCTCCGGATCCGAATCATCTACTCTATCGAATAATTCACTAGAAGCTGTTTAGCATGACAACTCTCGAACCCGTCCAGCTCTTCGGATCTTTTTTTCTCTCTCAATTCTTCACGATTCAGCTCCGGATCGGGATCTGAGCTGATGATCTGGAGCTGAAGCCGAGAATAGTGAGAGAAATTCTGCTGGAGAATTAACATCAGAAATGAAATCTGTATATTGAATGGATTGCACAGCTTGAGAAAAGGCGTAACATCGTGTGCCACGATGTGAATCATATAATCGCGTGTGACATAGGTGTAGCTCTCTCGCATACATTATTTTTTTGCTTTTGCTGATATGTTGTTGGTATATTTTGCGCGCATATTTGTTTACGCGATGGTTGATCAGTTGTTGCGTTAGTGGCGTTTTCCATTGAAAAGTAGAGCCATATTGTATGGTACGGATTTATTGGTTTAGACTACGATTTTATGCACTAATTAATTTTGCGATTTTGAATTTGTGCCATAATGTCTATAATTTCAATGTGAGCTGAAGAGCTGTTTAAAAGAATCGACTCCCTTTAGTGAGCTGGATGGGTTTGATCCACTCAGCCAGATGAGCTGATTTCAATGAAATAATTCAAATAAAAGAACCCTCGTTTACCAGACTAAAGTGATTTGCTGTGGATAATATGTTTAACACATTGCACATGTTTGACAAATGACAAATGTGATATCACATTTCAAGCTGAACATTGCATTAGGTCCTAAGTAACATTGATCGATTCTCTTCGTCGACTTTCTCTTTCGTTAATAGCTTGAGCATAAAATCGTTTTTTTTTTCAATCTGTGTGCTGAAAATACCTGGAAATGTCTTTACATGGCCGAGGCGATACAAAGGGAAAATCGACGAAGAGAATCTTTCAATGTTACTTGAGACCCAATGCCATATTCAGCTGGATTTCAATTTTTTTTTTGAATGACGCTCTTGGGTCATTCGTGAACTGTCCGGGGGTAAGATTTGAACCCGTGACTTTGACGTGAGAGGTATGAATGCTGCCCACTACGCCGGGGTCGCCCCCGATTTCAAATCAATCATCAACCATTAACTGAAAACGTTATTCGATAGATTTAGACCGAATGTGTCGTTAACCCAAAATTTCCAACCAGCTGCACTCAGTTTTTGTGCAATGGGTTTTACATAGATTTTTGCCTTGGCTCCCTTAGGCGATGTCAATATCGTTATGAAATACCATCCGCTCTCAATTTCATTTTCAGTCGCCAGCGTAACGAAAATGTATACTACTCCTCCTGTTCCTTTTCCTCCTGCTTCTCCATCGCATCTTCTTCATCAGCACCGATGAAGAATGGAAAATCGATGAACTACTTTCTTGCGCGACTGGTACCTACACCACCCACCACGCTTTCCCTAAGGCGTACTCTGGTACCTGCACACTAGGGATACCGAGCACATCTACTGAGCATTGTTCTACATCTGAGTAAGACGAATGACGGTGTACATTAGGGTGGGTCAAGTTTGTATGGTGGATCACAACCTCTGTTCCCCACTGCTCTTCCGATGTGTATTGAGTCAAATTTCACCAAATCTTGGAAATAGATTGGGAATACTATGCAGCACAACTTTGTCGAAAGCTGCAAATTGGTTAATGAATGAATCGGATCGTTCCATTTCCCATACATTTTCCCAAACATAAATTCCATTATAACCAAAATCGTTCTAATGTTGCACGGTTGTTGGGAACCTCAATACGCGCGAAACAGCAGTGGGGAACTGGAGGTTGTAAAGTTGACCCACCCTAGTGTACATATTCCACAAAAGAGTATCTCATGTGAAGGATCTTCCATCGCTCCCCAACCACTTCAGCGCACCGATTATTACGTGAACCAACACATTTCGGCATGGTTGGAGCACCAGGTGGATGATTGAGTGTGAAACGACTAGTCATGCTTTTCTGATTTCTGTCCATATGAAACCTATCTCCACATTACATGCTTTTTTTCTTTCTTGAGAGCAGCTGGAACAGGTACGGTGCGTCTCCTTTGAAACACATCAAAACCCCGGCGTCTCAAGTGGATTGTTTACTTTGCATTCATCAAGAAAAGTCAATCTCGTTCTAGATTTTATGGGTACGCTTTAATCGAGCAAAGTTTCTCCAGTTGTAATGGTAAAACATGCCAACGTTAATGTGTCAATGAAGAAAATCGCATAACCCGACAAAAGTGAAAACAGCGATAAAATACCAGCTTTAGTACAACCACAACAACCGGCCCGAACTGACATTTATGCTCGGCTTTAGCTTCACTCCGTAGCGTAAGAAAGACGAGATGTTCTCGTTGCTTCTCATAGTCGGTTTTCCTCTCACGCACATGCGTCCTGATCGATCACAGCTGCAACGGAAGCAGCAGCAGGATACCCGAGATTCTTGTCGTGGGATGTCGAAAAAAGGGATTTGAATATGCTAATTTTTTGTCCAGGGAGGGAAAGGTTCGATTATTGGACCATTGATGCGAAGCCCACGCAGAAACGTGTAATCTTAATCACTTGTAAAAGAACGGCAGGGGGCCGTGCTACCAGGTGGAGGTTGAGTTCATTTAGGATTACATACACGATACATGGATACAGTTCTTACTCTTTAATCGTTCAGATTAAAGCGAGGGGGAAGAGTAAGTCAACATCCCTCAAGCTTAAGGTAATTCAAATGGGGCAATCTAGTGAAGCGGGTAATTTTGACCTTTAAATGGAGCCTTCCAATTAGAATTATCTTGCCTTGGGTCTCGTTTCCAATGTAATACGCATGACCTGAGTCTTGAGATATCTTGGAGTAAACTAATGGTACACTGAGGCAAATAAACTTAAGAATTTCATATGGCTAGACTTATGAACGACACATAAGAATTTCATCAGCGTGACTTATGAATGATTTTCGTCTAACATGAGGTAGCTCTCATACGCCTTCAACCACTTCATTATCCCAAGCGTTGAATGACGAGTGGTCATCACACGGACCCCGTAATCTCAACGTCCATGGTTCGGTTCAATCGTCAATCGTCAGTCGTATGTTGTGATGTAAAGAGCCCGGTGACCTAGTGGCTACCGTTTTTGTTTGCCGAGCAGTAGATCGTGAGTTCTATCCCGATCGCCTTAACGTTACGACATCTATCTCTAAACACGTCCTTATTTGATCTGATCAAAACTAAGAAGTTTCCCAATTCAGCAAATGTCCCCTGTAAACGTCAATTGAGTGCAACCCAAAACCCAATTCCACCATTCGATTCTGTCATTCAACGGTTTCGGATATCGGGGCAAACCTACAAACAAACAACACAAAGTTCAACTTACTTGTTAATCCTGACTCCTCGTCCGAGAACATCAAAAATCCTTTGTTCATATCTTCCGTACGTGGGGCGAAGATCTTCTCCGTAGCGTGTTTCGGTTTGAACAGTTTCGCCGTTACCGATTGCGGTACCTTGCGTTCGGGTGGTTTCTCTTCACCGATACCCACCGATGTACCGGCGACAGTAGTGCTGGTAGTGGCAGAAGTTGCTGCTGTAGTCACTATCGGATTTTTGGCAACACTGCTGCTGAATATCGAAGCCGTCACTGATACGGGACGTATGACACCGCCGGCAGTGATGCTGCTGCTGTTACCACAATTAGCACTGATCGGAGCCGGTACTTTACGAATCACCTTAATCACTTGTGATGCTGCTTCTTCTCCGTCTTCTTCTTCTTCCGCAGATTTCTGCCTTGGATCGTTATTGTTGTTGTTGTAATTGATATTCTCTTTGAGCACTCTATCACTTGTTTTCACTGTTACTGCTGCTGTGGCGGCACTGCTCTTATTGACTGCTTCTTCTGGAGCAACTGATGGCACTGAATCGGCGATAGTTGGCTTCTGTTGACGTGCTTCCAGCTGGGCACACGAATAAATTTCATCTTTGTTCTCCACACCACTGTGAAACAGAAATATTTCGAATTCGAAAATTGCTTCTTCTGAGCTCGCAAAAAAAGTTCTGGCATTTTCTTCCGTTCACCAAAAATACAGAAATCCCACAGACAGTTCGAGAAGCGTACGCGCGCGCGATCCGGCGTCCCGAGAGAGCGAGTCCTATTTTCTGCGGCGATTTTCCTCCACAGTCAGTGGATTGGAAAATCAAAGGGAAAATAAATTATCCGAATCGATGCACTTTTCCTCGACTTCTTCGCCGGCCACGAACGCGCGAACGTGTACTTAATTTTTGCTTAATCGTTTTCGTTTAAAATTACATTCCGGTCGATGTTTGGTCAATAACGAGAAAGGGGGTGTTTTTGACGGACGGTGGCTGCTTGGAAGTAAATAACAAGTTGTTTTCTTCTCAAGATCAGGTGGTCAGTGGTCGGCAGTGGAAAATCACTGGCTACAACAAGCGATGAAATGACAAGTCGGGTGAGCGTGTGTGTCTTATTTTGGCGGTGCGTGGTGACATCCTCCCACTCAGTCTCGATTTGTATTGTAAAAGTGAAGTGGAGGAAAAATCATCGCTGTACGATTTATAGCAGCGATGATGAACCAAGAACAAGACTGTGTGGATGAAAATAAGCATTCCGAAGAGCAGACTCAGCGGGTGATTTTTGTTAGTGGGATTGAGTTACTCAAGAGAAAGATTTCTTTTGAGTGTTGAGTTGAAAAATATGAAGCACATACAATCTGTCCGATGCTTGCAGAGGGTTTGTAGGATATCTGCAGATATCCCCAGAGGCCTCGTGGCGTCAACTCCGGTGGTGTTTTGGATTCAGTTCAGTACATGCTTTACAAGACTACAAGTCGTCGTTAGAAGTCTCATAGATTAAATCTAAAAGTTCAGTAAAGCGGTTGATTGGATCAATTCCAGATGTTTCTTGGATATCGCTTGGATCAACTCCGGATACGTTATTAATCAACTGCAGATAGCCCCAGAGGCCCTATGGTAGCACATATGACCTCAAGAGGAGGCCTGATGGGTTGAGGTCTAAGTTCTCACGAGTCAACCCCAAAGACCATGCAGTTTAAGTCTAGAGACCTAATGGTAATAAAGATCTTATGGATTAGCTTTAACCTTTTGACTCAAGACTGAAAAGTCCTTCTGAGAACTAATATGCCTTCTGGGTTGAGGTCAAAGCTCTCACGAGTCAAATTTTGAGACCTTGGGGCAATAGAAATCTTATAACTTTTTTACTCCTCCTGAGAACTCATATGGCATAACCAGAGGCCTTATGGGTTGAGGTCAATGCTCTCACGAGGCACCTCCAAGCACCTTATGGTAATAGAGTTCTTATGGGTGAACTTCTGACTCATGACTGAACCCTCATAAGAATTCATATGTCAACACCGGAGGTCCTATAGGTTGATATATTAAGGCTAAAGCTCTCACGAGGTAACTCCAGAGAACATGCAGTTTAAGCCTTGAGACCTTGTGGAAATAGAGCTCTTATAGGATAACTTTATCTCCCGAATTTTGACGTCCTCACGAAGATTTGTTTGTCAACCCTGCTCAGTCGGTAAAGGCGCAGCTACAAAGCAAGACCATGCTGGAGGTGGCTGGGTTCAATTCCCGGTCCGGTCTAGGAATTTTTCGGGTTGGAAAATTTCTCGACTTCCCTGGGCGTAGAAGTATGATTGGACTTGCCACACAATTATACCCATGCAAAAATGGTACAGGCATCGAAAGCTCTCAATTAATAACTGTGGAAGTGCATCTAGAACACTAAGTTGAGAGCACGCAATAAGCTAATATGCCATATGCAATAAGCTTAAAAAGCGAAGAAGAAGAAGAAGAAGACAAGGTTCTCACGGCTCAACTCTAGACACCTTACCTCTTCAAGGTCCTCGAGCGATAACTACAGAGGGCTTATAAGTTGTTTTCAAAAGTTATATGAGTAAACATCAGTTGCCTTATCAATCCAAATTAGTGGCTTTAAAGGTCAACTACAGGGCATTAGTGATCAATAGGCTGATGCATATTTTGTAAACGTATACTGCAACTACAATGGAAAGAGCAAAAGTTGTCGTTCAAGCCTATATTTTGACTATTCATTATACACGGCAAATTAATCTGGCTCATATTTGAGTCTGTTCTCTCAAATTCGCAAAAACGTAGGTCACTCATAGATGAGTAAATGTCACTCATATGTTTTGATTTTGCCTATTGCTCACGCTCAGATTAATTTTGAAGGCCTTACGGGTCATTAACTTTAGAGTTGCCATGATTCTACTTCAGAGACGTTACTGGGTCAACTTCAGAGAATTTTTGAGGTCTTGCTTGTTTGAAAGGTGCTGAGCCAACTTCAGGGGATTTATATGCTTAGTCTAAAGCCTAATGAATCATTTTAAAAGTACTCACTGAACAACTCTAGAAATCTCCTGAGTTACCTTTTAAGAACCTAGTGGGTTCAATACAGAGGCATTATGTTTCAACTCTGATGTTCTTATGAGTCACAGTCAACTTCGGAGGCCTTATGGATTCTCTCCAGATAACTCCAGCGTTCAGTTTAGGATGTCTTATGGATTACCCCCGGAGACCTTACGAAGTAGGTCCACAGATCTAGTGGTCTAATTGGTTCGGTCTAGAAGTTTTTTGAGTCACCTCCGGATACCTCATGGATCATCTCCGGAAATATCATGGGTTTACTGCAAAGACCTTATGGATTAAATCCAGAAGTCTTATGATGGGCCATCTCTGGGTATCGTACGGGCTAGTTTAAAGGCTTTGTGGATTAAATATTGGGGCTTTACGAATCAAATCAAGCGGTCTTATTAATCAGAGGATTTATGGATTACCTTAGTAGGTAGTACTATAGAATGACTTTGGCGTCCTTACGGTTAGCTTCAAAGGCTACCTTGAGTTAGGTTAAGAGGTCTCATGGCGCAAATCTAGAGAGCCTTTAGATTAACGATTATCGGTTATGTATAAAATTTCTCATTGATCAACTCTGGAAATCCCCTGAGTTAACTTTAACTGCTTTGATATCTAAACCCAGAGGTCTTATGTTTCAACTCTGTAGTTCTTATGAGTAATCTTCAGAGGCTTTATGGATTAACTCCAGAGAACTTAGCGTTCTGATTAGGATGCCTTATGGGTCACCTCCGCATTCCTTACGAAGCAGGTCCAAAGATTTAATGGGTCCATTGCATAGACCTTTTTGTTTTAGTTGGTTGAGTCAACTCCAGAAGTTCTATGATGAATCAACTCCTGGTTTTTTATAGGATAGCTCAAAGGCTTTGCGGATTTAGTAATGGGGCCTTACGAGATAAGTCAAGAGGTCATATTAATCACAGGACTTATGGGTTAACTTAGGTAGTATTATGGAATGATGGAGTCAGTGCCAGGTTCATAGAGCTAATAGAGCAAATCTAAAAAGCATTTAGGTTAATGATTTCCTATTGTTGTAGGAAATGCATAACTGACCTTTGGATTACCCCAAGGCTGAGAAACATCAGCATCATTACATAGTTGCAAAACCCAACCTTTTATGATAACATATGGATCTTACTGCATATATCTTATGAGGGAACTCCAAAGAGCTGAGGACTCTGACTAACTCTGCCGACTATAAATCAACTTTAGAGGTCTTGTCTCAATCTTCATGATCTTCAAAAAAATTATTTGAAACATTTCCAGAATCTATGTGAGCCAACTTCAAAGATCTAACGGGCACTGTTTAATACCTTAAGGAATAATCGTCACCGATTTAATTGAGCTACTCGAGAAAAATTCTGGCATAATTGGGAGTCTTTATGGCTTAAGTTATGAGAGCTTCTAGGTAAATTTCAGAAGTCAACCAGGAATTAGGCTGAACAGAAACAGAAACGAAACAAATAAATCCTTGTAGATGGATTCCAAAGGTCTTCCCAAGCAACATTGCAAGTTTTACAGGGTGCGTGACGATTTTTTGCAGTAAATTTCAAATAGTAATTTCTCATGCTTGTGCATCATGATTTAGATATATTTGGCAGCACTGGATATCTTATACTGTTAGGAGTAAGATTTAAACAAACAATGTTGAATAAACGTAAAGATGTCGAAACAAGAGAGCAATCTGTCCGCCGTTGTCGCTTTGTTGCGCACCGGAGTATGCATGAAAGAAATAATTCGGTCGGTAAATGTGTCTGAAAGAACAGTGTATAATATTAAAAAAGGCTTGGGAAAGTGATAAGACGGAGCACCTGCTCATACTGCTAATAAAGCACAGAAATGGCTTACGGAAAAATATTTCGTAAATTTGGGAGGAAGAAATTTGGCCCCCAAACAGTCCCGATATCAATCCGTTGGATTATTTTGTATAGGGCGTCGTCCAACGGGATACCAATAGAACCCCTCACACCACACTTAAGTCGCTAAAAGCTAAAATCAAGGCAGTGATGACTTCTATGGATCGAAACATTTTAAAACGTGCATACTGCAGTTTCCGGAAGCGTCTAACTACAGTCGTCGAAAGGGAAGGCAATTTTTTTGAATAAATTTACTTACAACTTCCATATGTTGCGAAAGAAAATAAATCGCAGAAAATTCATTGCTAGAATAACTAACTGGTGTATTTTTTCTCAAATATGCCATTTACTGCAAAAATTCGTCACGCACCCTGTATATTGGTTCTAAAGCATGTTACAAGTCTAAATCGTGGTTTACAGAACCCTCATAAATTCAAAAAAATTACTTGGGTTAAATTTCACCTCAGAAGGTCAAATGAGTCAAATTCAGAAATCAACTCCGAGAGTCAACTAGAAAGGCCCGATAAGGCTAATTGCACAGAATTTATGGGTCAACTTTAGAGACCCTATGGGTTCAGTTTTACGGTGTCTAGATCACAGGCCGTATGAATTATATACCTAGATGCAGGGTACCAGATAATGGGTTGTTCGCTGGTGTTATTCGTGTTCTTAGAATTAACAATCTTGAGACATTTACTGGATAGAACACATCTAGCGCAACATATG